TCTGTCCCTTTCTGATCAAATTAAAATAAATAAAATAATTCTTTTTTAAAAAGTTGAATTGGAGCACCAATAACAAAACCTTAAGTGTTCATGTGTTTCAGTTTTCATTGTCTTTCCAACTAAGTGGCTTTAAGTCATGCTTTTAACTCCCTAATGATTATTAGATACCATGTTAAGTTATATTTACCAAATATAAAAACTAAGGCCCAAGACATTTGCGCTTAGATTTTTAATATTCCTTATACATGCTATTTGCTGAAGTATAATAGTTTAGTGATCGAATTTATAGAAACATGTTAAAAGGTGTTAATAGAAGTTTTTTTAACTACAAGAGCAGTGTGAGTTTTCAGTAGACTATGGATGCCAAAAAAAATTCACATTCGCAGACGGCAGTAATAGAAATGGATGTGGAGAAGGAACAGGTAAAAGACATTTATTTATGTAGTCTCCAAAAAGGTATTTCCTGTCATATGATGGTTTATATATTCTGTTTAGGTTTGGGAACTGCATTTAATTTATTTCTTTTTAAATAGTTAGTTAATTTTATCTATTAATATTATTTTTTAATTTGCTTTAGGGCATGTGTGCTCATCAGAGAGAGAGAGAGAGAAAGCTGCCAGGGACTTGAACCATAGTCTCTCATATGGAAATCCAGTACCTTAACCACCATGCCATTTGCTGGCTCCCAGGAACTACATTTTACAGAGATCTAAATAGAGAAGCACTAAGGAGAGTAAACCAGGATTATAGTATTGATTGAACCACAGGAGAAACAGTTTAAAGAATAATGGGGGCCGGCAGATGGTATGGTTGTTAAGGGCGCTAGAATCCCACATGGCCAATCATGGTTCAAGTCCTGAACCTGGTGACTTTCCCTCCCACCCCCCACTCTGTCCCTCTCTGGTCAAATTAAAATAAATAAATAAAAGTTAAATAAAACAAGTCTTTAAAAATAAGTAAGGATAACTAATATTGGAGCCAGCTGTTTGTGTGACAGAGAGACAGAAAGTGAGAAACCACTCCCCCAGCAGGACGACTATGCAATCCCTTCTCCTCCATTCTTGTCTTAGGATTTGAGACATGCACACACATCCACCTAGCTTTTTTTTTTTTTTTTCCTGGAGAGTTTTTGGCTATAGGGTGCGTGTGCTCACCAGAAAGACAGAGACAGAAACTGAGAAATCACCCCCCAGGGGGGATGGCCACACCACAATCCCTTCTCCGTTCTTTCCTTCGGATCTTGGGCATGCACGCACACGCACCCGGTGTGAGTTTAAGCCACCAGGTCTAGAACTCGAACTGCGGTCGACTACATGGGAGTCCAGCAACATAGCCATTACGTTAACTGCTGGCCCCAACGCCTAGTGTGTTTTAAGCCTCCGGGCCCAGGACTTGAAACACGGTTGACTATGGGAGTCCAGTGACAGTAACCATTACGTCATCCGTCATCTGCTGTTCCCTTTTCTTGTTTTTTTTTTTTTTTAAGAATTATTTATTATCGTTATTTTTCAATTTTGACCAGAGAGAGAGCAAACCACCGTGTCCAGGACTTGAACCATGGTTGGCCATGTGGAAGTCTAGGAGCCTTAACCCCATGCTACCTGCTGGCCCCTCTACTTGGTCTTTAATATTGTGTAGATTTTGAGACTACACTTACCATATTGATTTGTACTTTTTTCTCAGGTCATGCGCATTGTGGATAATGTCCGTCCTGATCGTCAGACGGTTATGTTTTCAGCTACTTTCCCCAGAGCTATGGAAGCTTTGGCTCGCAGAATCTTGAGTAAACCGATTGAAGTACAGGTTGGAGGGAGGAGTGTGGTTTGCTCAGATGTGGAACAGCAAGTGGTGGGTACTATCTTCAGGAAATCCCCAGTCCCCTTAATGTTTAGCTGGTATGTGTGATTCTTTTGATATCACTGTAAGGTGTGATGATAATTTTTATAAGTATATGTCAACTGTAGCTTCAGTAATTTTACTAGATACACTTGACTATGCTGTTTCATGGAGCTGTTTAAAATGTGCTTTTTCGTTTCACCAGAAGGTATAAGTGGGTAGGTATAAATGCCACGTACCTGTCTTACATGGTTACTAGGAAATGAAGAGGGAAATAGTAGCAGATGATGATTGGACCACATTTACAAGCCTCTTAATCTCTGAGAGTTTACCAGAAAAAAAAAAAACAAACAATATTTTTTAGTCCTTTTTTAGTCCTTCTTAGTTGTTTCTTGAATATAGTAAGATGTCACTAATTCATTCACAAGTAAAATGAATATTTCTGTCTGAGGGATGTATTTGTATTTTCACTCCATTAACTTGGTGCAAACTGATGTTTTCAGATTGTGATTGAAGAAGAAAAGAAATTCTTGAAGTTACTTGAGCTTCTTGGCCATTATCAAGAATCAGGATCTGTCATTATATTTGTGGATAAGCAGGAACATGCCGATGGTCTTCTGAAGGATTTGATGAGAGCATCTTATCCTTGCATGTCTCTTCACGGAGGTAATATTTAATTTCATTCACACAGAAAATATCCGTTAAGTATTTCATGTGTCAAGTACTGTACAGTTTTCTGAATGATGGTATTTACTTTTACTTTATAATTTAGGACTAAATTTTATCCTTTGTTTTAGTTTTTACTCATAATAACTCTGGGGGAAGGAGTAAGCGTTATTAATTCATCTTAGAGATAAAGAATATTAGACAGACATAGATTAGTTTGGTCAAATTCCATTGCCATTAATTAGCTAAGAAAGAACTGAACTTAAACATTTCAGACTCATGTTATACTCTTCCATTGCATGCTACCTAGGACTTTTCATGATTCACCTTGTAGTTTTCTTTTTCTTTTTTTTTTTTTTTTCAAATAATTATTTATTTTTCATTTATTCATTCATTTATTTTTAATTTGATCAGAGAGAGACAGAGGGTGAGAGAGATAGAGGAAGTGAGAAAGCAAGCCACCAAATTCAGGACTTGAACCTCAGTCGGCCATGTGGGAGTGTCCAGCGCCTTAACCACCGTGCCACCTGCTGGTCCCCTACCTTGTAGTTTTCATTGAAACTTTAGCATTATAATTTCTGTGTAGCATTGTCTTGTTATGTATATTTGGGGCTAGAATACAAACTGTATGGAACACAGATGTTTTGAATTACCCTCAGTAACCAGGTGTTCAGGCTTTTTTTAATCTTTGTAATGAATCACCCCAAAATTTAGTGGACAACAGAGCTAGCTAGCTGCATAGCCTCATAGTAAAGGAAGCCATAGCTCATATGGTCAGCCATGGTTTAAATCCCAGCCATGGCAGCTTGAAACACCTGCTAGGTTCATGTGCAGGTGTGCCCAAAATTCCAGCAGAAAGGAGAAATGGAGGAGAAGGGACTGTGGGGTGACCATGTCTTCTTTCTCTGGTAAGTGCATGCATTGTGGTAATTAAAAACAAAACAAAATTTGAGGCAACCAGTAGTGTGCTGGTTAAGGTGACAGGATTCTGCATGGCCAACTGTGCAATCTGAGTTCTGGACCTGGTGTCTTGTAAAACATGCCAGGCATGTGAGCGTGCATGCCCAAAATCCCTAGAGGAAAACGGAGAAGAAGGGATTGGAGTGTGGTTGTCCACTCCCTGCCCCACAAGGTGATTTCTCACTTTCATTTTCACTGTCTTTGTCTGTTTCTTTAGTGAGTGCACGAACATCCTATGACAAAAACCTTTAAAAAAAAAAAAAAGAAAGAAAGAAAAGAAAAATGTATTGGCCATGTTTGCGCGCACATATGCACATAAAATTTCCAACGGAGGGAGAAAGAGAAGAGAAGGGATTGCTAGACGACTATCCACCCTGTGGGGGAAATGTCGTCTTACTTTCCCTCTCTGTCTCTCTTTGGTGAGTGCACATGCCCTCTAGAAAAATTAAACAACACAAAATCCCTCACTCCAAACTAAAGAGTTTTGGTTTGATTACAAACCTTGTCATTAAGCTCTCTTAATGTAAAAGTAAATAAGGGCCTAGTTGATTTGTAAGTGTATAAATATAGAAGATATTTAAGACTTTTTAAGTATAAAAATGTGTAGCCTTGAAATTTGTTTTTTAATATTTAATTTGATTTGTTATTATTTTTCTAATCTAGTAGGGCATGTGTGCTTACCAGAGAGGGAAAAAAAAAAAAGCCACTAGGTCCAGAACTTGAACTGTGATTGGCTACGTGAGTGTCCAGTACCCTAACCAAATGCCACCTGCCAGCCCTGAACCTTGAAATTCTTAAATCTGTACATGTAGTTAATACAATTTTATAGGTGATACGGAAGTATACTGGCATTGACATGTCTGAAATGCGTGTATGTGTGTGTGTATATATACATATATATATATGTGTGTGTATCCTAAAGTCATGTCTATCAGATTACCTTCCTTTAAGCCCTAATGGTTATCTTTCCTTTAAAATGCATATCTTTTCCTTAAGTTGTCATCCTGCAAGATATTCTGGAGAAAAACTTACGAATTAAACACTTAACAAATTCTTCTTGATGTCTATTATAGTGTAGCAAGTTATCATCTAACCTATAATGGTCTATCAGTAGAGTAAGGCTTAGTTTCTTGTTCTCTTCAGACATAGCTGACTACAACTCAGAAAGCAACAGCTGGCTACAGCTTCTCCACTTCTTTATTAACGACTGTAATTGATCCAGGTCATTCCTTGATATATACACTTTGACTAGTTTTAGCCTTCAAAGAAGCTCTCCTTTCTCCTGAATCCGCTTCATCAATTTTGCTTTTTCTTCATCTAATGCTTGTTAAGGATAACTCTCCTTCAAAAAATTAGTTTGGAGAGCATTTGTATCAAGTGATTTTGATTCACATGTACTGATATTCTTGAAGGCATTTTTCAAATGTGCATTTTCTTCAAATTCACTGGGACCAGCAGTTAGCGCAATGGTTATGTCACTGGACTCCCATGTAGTGACTTTGGTTAGCGTCCCGGACCCGGTGGCTTAAACTTACACCGGGCGCATGTGCATGAGTGCCCAAGATCCCAAGAGGAGAATGGAGGAGAAGGATTGCGGCGTGGCCATACCCCTGGGGGGTGATTTATCGCTTTCTGTCTCTCTGTCTGTCTCTGTCTGTCTGGTGAACGCACGCACCCTATGACGAAAACCTCTCCAAAAATAAATTCACTGTCTGTGTTTAAAACTTGCTTGAAATTCCAAACAGTTTCCTTTCATTGAAGAAGGAAGTTTCTCTGAAAAGGTCTGACCCCTTTCTTCAGTCTCTACTTTAAGATGCTTTACCACACTGCAGTGGGAACTAAATCAAGACCTTGTTTTCCTTAATTTTTCTCTAAGTATGGCACTCATGGGTTGTTTTCATGAACTATTTATATGGGGTGAGGGTGGATTCACACAGGCCGGTGGAGTGCCAGGTGAAATCACAGTGGGTCTGAAGGACTTTCCATCTTGAAAATGAAATGTTAGTTTACCTCTCCCTCCGCCATGCCCAAAGGTCATTGTTATTTTTTAATTTGCTACAGGATATGCTTGATCACTGGGCAGGGGGAATGTAGGGGGCAGAGAAAGAGAGAATCTCCCCAGGACGAATGGCCATGTTGCATTCTCCATTCTTGTCTTAGGATTTTGGGACACATAAGTGCAGGTTCCTGACATGTTTTTCCAGTTGCTGAGTCTGGGATTTGAACCAGTGAGCCATGCGGGATCCAGCTGCCTTAACCACCATGTCACTGTCTGGCCCTATAGTGTCATCTTGAGAGTCTTAGCTTAGTTTTTAAGATTCCTCATGGGAACAAAAAGGCTTTGTAATTTCAGTCATCACTTCCAGTCAAGACAACTTCCAGGGAACCAGCAGTTAGCTTAATGGCTACGTCGCTGGATTCCCATGTAGTCGACTGCAGTTCATGTCCCGGACCCGGTGGCTTAGAACTCACACCGGGCGCGTGTGCATGCGTGCCCAAGATCCCGAGAGGAGAATGGAGGAGAAGGGATTGCGGCATGACCATCCCCCCTGGGGGGTGATTTCTCGCTTTCTGTCTCTGTCTCTCTCTGTCTGTCTGGTGAGTGCACGCGCCCTATATCGAAAACCTCTCCAAAAAAAAAAAAAAAAAAAAAAGACAACTTCCAGAGAAAAAAGACTTTTCCAAATGCTTTTGCAAATGTCTTGTCTTTCCCATTTTTTTTTTTTTATTACTAAGGTTTTTAAATCCAGGTTATCTGAGAAATTGTGTAGCCCATTCAGCAGTTAGCGTAATGGCTATGTCGCTGGACTCCCACATAGTCGACCGCGGTTCGAGTCCCGGACCTGGTGGCTTAAACTCATGCCGGGCGCGTGTGCGTGCGTGCCCAAGATCCCGAGAGGAGAATGGAGGAGAAGGGATTGCGGCGTGGCCATCCCCCCTGGGGGGGGATTTCCTGCTTTCTATCTCTCTGTCTGTCTCTGTCTGGCGAGCGCACGCACCCTATAGCAAAAACCTCTCAAAAAAAAAAAAAAGAAAGAAAGAAAGAAATTGTTTAGTGAACACCCATATGTACAATACCAGATTCTACAGTTAACGTTTTGTTATATTTGGTTTTCACATATTCAGCTATTTGATCTTTTCCCCACTCACCAATCTTTCTTTAGTATTTTAATGCAGGTCAGCACATTTCACTTCAATGTCTATCATTAACATTAGTCTTAAGTAAGTTTTAAATGAAAAAAAATAGTATAGATAGACTGCAGGTAAAATGTAAATCTTAAGCATAATATCTGATGAGATTTTTTAAATTATATATAAGCTGTGAAACTCAAACCTATATTAAGATATAACAGTGAGACCAGTGGATGGCGTATGGTTACGTCCCTGGACTCCCGCATGGCCAACTGCTGTTCATATTCCTGACCAGGCGGCTTCAGATTCACTTCAGGTGCGTGTGCATACGTACCCAAGATCCTGAGAGGAGAATGGAGGAGAAGAGATTGCAGTGTGGTCATGCCCCCTAGGCAGGTGATTTCTTGCTTTCTGTCTCTCTGACAAGGGCACTCACCCTATAGCACAAATCTCTTAAAAAATCGCAAAGGACTGTCGTCACCCCCACCCCCCGCCCCCAGCCTTGTAGTTAGGGAGCCAGATTTAAAATGTCCAACTGCAGTTCAAATCCCAGCCCTGGTGACTTGAAAAGTGTGCTTGGCACTTGTGTTTCCAAAATCCTGACAGGAAGAAGTAGAGGAAAAGAGATTGCAGTGTGATCATGTCCTGTGGGCTATGCTTTCTTCCTTTCCTTTAATTTTTTTTTAATAATTATTTAACTTTATTTATTCATTTATTTTGATTTGAGCAGAGAGGGAGAGAGAGAGACAGAGAGGGGACAGGGAAGCGAGAAGGCAAGCTGCAGGTCCTGTACTCGAACCACAGTTGGCCATGTGGGAGTCCGGTGCCCTTAACCACCTGCTGGCCCCAGGGTATGCTTTCTATCTTGTTCTCTTTCTCTGGCAAGTGCAAGCATCCTCTGGCAATTTAAAAAAAGTAAAATATGGAGCCAGCTGGTGGTGTGGTGGTTGGGGTGCTGGACTTCTGCATGGTTGACCGCAGTTCAAGTCCTAGACTTGTCAGCTTGCTTTCTCACTGCCCCCGCCTTCTCTCTTTCTCCCTCATGAGCACATGTGCCCTATAGCAAATTTAAAAAGGGCACTCCTAACAAAGGCAACTAGTTTTGCCATTTTCATCCACCTTACAGTATTTCAGGACGGCCAGCTTAACCTTCTTTCTCTTATGCTGCTGCTTCTTGGGAGTGGTATACGTCTTCTCTCTTGTCTTAGCACCACCACGAAGTCTCAACACGAGATGAAGCATGGATTCCTTTTGGATGTTGTAGACAGAGTACGCCGGTCAGGAGGAGTTCCTTCCTTATCCTGGATTTTGGCTTTCACATTTTCTGATATATCCAGTGGTTAAGCCTCAAGGGTGATGGTCTTCCCTGTAAGCGTTTTTACAAAAATCTGCTTCTTGATGGCAGTCCCACCGCAGATGGCGGGTTGGAAAGGAAGTTTTCCTATTTTTCTTTAATGTTTAAACATTTCTTTATCTGGAACCAGCAGATTCATCTTATAATTGATTAGGAATTCCAATAAGATCTTTTATTTAGACAACATGCTAGGGACAACATCTTCAAATAAACCAAATGTAACAGCTTTGTAGTGAGCTGTTTTAAGTACTTATTGTATTATACTCAAAGTTTTGCTATCACTGCTATTTTTCAACATTTAACATGAACTTACATTCATAGCATGATAGATTTATGATTGTGAAATGCAATGCCAGAACTGAAATGATGATAAAAAGAGTTGATCAAAAATGGGAATGAATACAAAAACGTAGTTTTGTTTATGTAAAATTTTGATCTTATTGAATATAAAATTTAAAAAAGCAAACAATGATAAAGGTAAAATATCATTGATTTATGCTTTTTTTTTTTTTAGGAGATTTTTGCTGTAGGGGTCGTTAGGTGGCATGGTATTTAATGGTGCTGGGATCCCACTTATCTAGCCATGGTTTGAATCCCAGACCTGGTAGCTTGCTCTATCACTTTCTCTTTCACTCTCTCTGTCCCTCTCTGGTCAAATTTAAATAAATAAATAAATAAATAAATAAATAAATAAATAAATAAATGCAAATTCAATGAAATATTAAAAGAAAAAAAGATTTTTGCCATATAGTATGTGTGCTTATTGGAGAGACAGAAACAGAGAGACAAAAAGCAAGAAATCAACCCCAGGGGGATGGCCATGCCACAGTCTTTTCTCCATTCTCCTCTTGGCATTTTGGACATGCACGTAAATGCGCCTGGTGTGAGTTTAAAGCTATCGGGTCCAGGACTCAAACTGCAGCGAGCCATGTAGGAATCCAGCAACATAACCATTTTGCCATATGCTGGTCTCAAATTTTTCTTTTCTGTTTTGAGAAATTTTTTGCTATAGGGTGTGTGCGCTCGCCAGAAAGACACAGAGAGATGGAGAGACAGAAAGCGAGAAATCATGCCTCCAGGAGGGATGGCCACGCCACAATCCTTTCTCCTCCGTTCTCTCGGGATCTTAGGCACACACGCACACACGCCTGAGTCTGAGACTTGAACTGCTGTCAACTACATGGGAGTCCAGTGACATGGCCATTATGCCAACTGTTGGTCCCGAATTTTTCATTTTTAACAAGCTCCAAGGTGGTGCTGCTTCTGGTCCTTAGATAAAACTGAGTAGCAAGACTCTCAGTAATTGACAAGAAAAGGAGAATGATCTGAATCCTGTCAGCATCGGTTGGATGTTCCTACTTTTCTGCCTTTTTTCCCCAAAACAGGTACAGGTTAGTGATTCTGAGATTGAACCTTTGCAGTTGTAAAAGCCTTATATTCTAGAAGGTCAACAGAACAAGGGTAGATTGGGGAAATTTATAAATGAAATAAAAGCAGTAACCTTTAATCTTGCTGTTAAATTTTCTTAAAATTTTTTCCCTATGTTGTAGGAGTTAGAAGTGTTGATTTGTTCTTTACTCCAAGTTTTGATTCTTTATCAAAGGGAATAAAAAATTTAATTGAATGTGTTGTCTTACATCTCTTCTCTGATTTAATTGCAGGCATTGATCAGTATGACAGAGACAGCATCATAAATGACTTTAAGAACGGGACGTGCAAGCTTCTTGTGGCCACTTCTGTAGCTGCCCGAGGTCTAGATGTGAAGCATCTGATTCTTGTAGTAAATTACAGCTGCCCCAACCATTATGAGGATTATGTGCACAGGGCTGGACGGACGGGACGAGCAGGCAACAAAGTAAAGAGAACTTTTTTTAGAAGATTTCTAATGTATTAAAATATAAGCAGTCCATTAGCATTGTAAGGACTAGAGACTAGGAGTTATGGGGACATTTAAAATTAATTACTGAAAATAATATGGTTAATGATTGATTTTTTTTAAAGAATTATTTTATTACACTTTATTTTTTATTTATTTATCTCAATGTGACCAGAGAGGGACAGAGAGAGAGAAGGGTGGGAGTGAGAAAGCAAGTGGCCAGGTCCTGGACCCGAACCATGGTCGGCCATGTGAGAGTCCAGTGCCCTTAACCACCACGCTACTTGCTGGCCCCAATGATTGATGTTGATCATTTATGTACAAACACAGTTATGTGTTGCTCATTGACCAGGGTAGGTACTGAGAAACGTGTTGTCAGGCAGTTTTGTGTATGAAGATCGTGGAGTATACTTACACAAACCTCGGTGGTAGTGCCTGTGGCACACCTAGGCTGTATGGGATAGCACGTTGCTTCTAGGCTATAACCCTGTACCACATTGCTGTGCTGAGTACTATAGGCATTTCTAACAGTAGTGAGTGTTCGTTTACCTAAGCACAGAAAAGATACAGTAGAGATGCAGTGTGAAAGGTAAAAACTGGCCTGGGCTGGTGGTGCAGTTGGTAGCAAGCTTACCCGCATTGTTGGAAGCCACATGACCTACCTACCGTGGGTTTGGATCCCCTAGTTGGCTTGAAAACATACTGGGTGTGTTTACTTCTCCAAGATCTTGACAATCTGGAGTGCCAGGGATGGGCGATCATGGTGTGATGATACCCTCTTGAGGTGCTGCTCTTTCTATTGTGCATGTGCATGCCCTCCATCATGATTAAAAAGTAAACTTTAAAAAGTTTAAAAAATGGTATACATTAATGGGACGCCCACTGTGAATGGAGCTTGCAGACTAGAAAGAAGTTAGTTGCTTGGGGTGAGTCACTGAGTGAGTGAACGTGAAGGCCTAAGATACTACTGTAACACTGATATAGACTTTAGGCTACACTAAATTTATAAAAACACTTTTTTTCTTTGATAAAAAATTAACCTTAGCTTACTGTTCCTTTTTTATCTTATAAATTGGTTCAGTTTTTTAAACTTTTTGACTCTTGTGATAACACTTAGCCTTATACACACACATTGCAAGACTGAAAAAATACAAGTCTCTGTGTTAATAATCCCATAAAAGCGTAAATATACTTTTCTTAGCAGACTGTGGATCCAATGTGGTAACTATTTAGATATTCCTTATACAAAATCTCAGTGACTTAAAATATACATTTCCCTGTTGGGGCAGTATTTTGGGAAGAAGGCAATCTGTGTGTGGTCGGTAAATCTTCTGTTTTTGGCTCCAGTCTTTATCTTGCCTGAATCAGAAAGGCTGCTGGGGGGGGCACGTGGAACCTTGGATTTTAGAGTGTTTCAGGGAAGTGATATAGCTAATGTCATTTGTTCAAAGCAGTTTCAAAAATAAATACATAAAGGGGCTAGCAGGTGGCATAGTCTTTCAGGATGCTGAACTCCCACATGACCGACTGTAGTTCAAGTTCCAGACCTGGCAGCTTGCTTTCTCAACTTTTCCTCTCTCTCACTGTCTCTCCGCTGGTCAAATTAAAAAAAGAAAAAAAAGTTAAATAAAATAATATATTTTTTAAAAAAGTAAATACATAAAAACATATATAATTATATGTGTATATTATCAAACATATTTCATATATATACACATACGTTTTTGTATCTTTTATAGAATTAAAGAAGTAGATAAGCGGGACCAGCAGTTGGCCTAATGGCCATGTCACTGGACTCCCATGTAGTTGACTGTGGTTCGAGTCCTGGACCCAGTGGCTTAAACTCACACTCAGCACATGTGCGTGCGTGTGTGCCCAAGAATCCCAAGAGGAGATGGAGGAGAAGGGATTGCGACGTGGCCATCCCCTCTGAGGGGTGATTTCTCACTTTTTGTCTCTCTGTCTGTCTCTGTCTTTCTGATGAGCGCACATACCCTATAGCAAAAACCTCTCCAAAAAAAAAAAAGTAGTAGATAAGCTACAGTTTAGGAAGTTAATATGGGTGAGAGTGGTACAAACAGGTAGCATAGGAAATAGATGCAAGCAGAAAAAGAAGAAAAATAAAATACCATATATGAGAAAGTTAGTGTGTGGGACCGGCAGGGGGCTTAGTGGTTAAGGGTGCTGGACTCCCACATGGCCAACCACAGTTTGAGTCCTGGACCTTGTGGCTTTCCTTCTTCTCTCTTTCTCTCTCTCACTCTGTTCCTCTTTTTGTTACAATAAATAAATAAATAAGTAAAGTAAAATAAAATAATTCTTTTTTTAAAAAATGAAAGTTAGGATGTAATGATAATTGTCCATTTGTGTGAAAATGCATAGATTTCTTCTTAGGCCTAACAAAATTAGAAATTTTCTTCTTTTGCCTATCTTATTTAAAAATATTAAACCTAGATGTTTTACCTGTTAAAGAATTTAGTGGAATTATTTTTTGGCCTTTAAAATTCTTTAGTGATGGTGTCAGTCTTAAGGATTCATTAGCTTTTCATAATATTAAGTTACCAGTGATCTAAGTAGGTTTCATCTTGTTAGTATCTAATAATTCCTCATTTTTATCATCCATTAGGGTTATGCCTATACTTTTATCACAGAAGATCAAGCTCGCTATGCTGGTGACATAATTAAAGCTCTTGAATTGTCAGGAACTGCAGTACCTCCTGATCTGGAGAAACTTTGGAGTGATTTCAAAGATCAACAGAAAGCTGTGAGTTTTTTAACATCTGATATTTTTATCTTTTTATGAAAGGGGAGAAAAAGTGAAAAAAATTCTGGCTTGAATTTACTGTTTTGTAACATGTATACATGCTATCCGAAGTGTTTTGACACTTTACATTGACATACCCTATCTTTAAAAATATTTAATTGCTATAAATTTCTAATTAATAATGTTTTTACTGTGATATTAACATTTTTGTTTTTTCTTGAAAGGAGGGGAAAATAATTAAAAAGAGTAGTGGGTTCTCTGGTAAGGGATTCAAGTTTGATGAAACAGAGCAAGCTCTGGCTAATGAGAGGAAGAAGTTACAAAAAGCAGCTCTTGGTCTGCAAGATTCTGATGATGAGGATGCTGCAGTTGATGTAAGTATTACCGATTTAAGCCTCATTCCAGCTATTCGAAGCAGTTATTCCTTTTATACTGGGCTTTGCCTGTGCATTTTTAAAAAGATAATTATTTTATTTAACTTTATTATTATTATTTTCCAACTGGACCAAAGACACAGATAGACGGAGAGAGGGAAAGTAAGAAAGCAAGCCACCAGGCCCATGACTTGAACCATGGTCAGCCATGTGTGAGTCCAGTGCCTTTAACCACCATACCACCTTGACTGTGCATTTTGAGATAAGTCATTTAACCTGCGGAGATTTAATTTGTAACTTTCTTGGCATGCACCCCTCCCAGTGTGTGTATTTGTTCACAAACATTTATATTTGTATTTTCATAAAAATGTGGTTATACTGCTTTATAGGCTTTACAACAGCATGTAGAAATCTTTACATTTTATCTTTATTCTTGATAGCTTTATTATATGTGTGCTTCATAATTGAATGAATCAAACAAACCTGGCACAGTGTATGGCACTTAGTAGCAAACAATAAATGTGGACTATTACATTAATATGTTCTGTAATTTTCAAATTTAAAAAGATACATAGTCGGGTCCAGCAGTTAGCGCAATGGCTATGTTGCTGGACTCCCACGTAGTCAACCACGGTTCGCGTCCCGGGCCCGGTGGCTTAAAACTTACGCCGGGTGCGTGTGCGTGCGTGCCCAAGATCCCAAGAGGAGAATGGAGGAGAAGGGATTGCGGCGTGGCCATCCCCCCTGGGGGGTGATTTCTCGCTTTCTGTCTCTATGTCTCTCTCTGTCTGGCGAGCACACGTGCCCTATAGCAAAAAACCTCTCCAAAAAACAAACAAACAAACATTTAGCTGAGAAAAATTGTTTTAAATTAAACAACATGTATGTAATGAAAATCTAAACACATGCATAAAATCAAGAGTGGAGAATGTATACAATGCCAGTTGATATGGCTAACTACTTTTTACTTTAGTCAACTAAGTATTATTCTAATTTTTCACAAAAATCACATTACTTCAACCACCAAAGAAGGTATTAACATATTTGATCAAAAGAGTTTACAAAATTCTGAAAATGACAGGAGTTTACAAAATTCTGAAAATGACAGGATTTTTTTCCCCACGAGGTGGTTTTAAAACATGGCAATTGTGGAATGGACTCAGTGACTTGGTTCTAACAGAAGAAACTGAAAGTGACTACAGAAACTTGTCATTAAAAAACACTAAGGCGGGGGAACCAGCAGTTAGCGTAATGGCTATGTCACTGGACTCCCACGTAGTCGACCACGGTTCGTGTCCCGGACCCGGTGGCTTAAAACTCACGCTGGGCGCGTGTGCGTGCGTGCCCAAGATCCCGAGAGGAGAATGGAGGAGAAGGGATTGCGGTGTGACCATCCCCCCTGGGGGGTCATTTCTCGCTTTCTGTCTCTATGTCTCTCTCTGTCTGTCTGGCGAGCGCACGCGCCCTACAGTGAAAAATCTCTCAAAAAAAAAAAAAAAAAAAACACTAAGGCGGGACCAGCAGTTAGTGTAATGGTTAGCGGTCGACTACGTGTGAGTCCAGCGACATAGCCATTACGCTAACTGCTGGTTTTCAGCTAAATGTTGAGTTTAAAACTAAAATGAACTAAAATCCCTTATTAGATAATGAGTTATTATTATTATTCAACTTTCTTTCTTCCTCCCTCCCTCGTTCCCTCCCTTTCCCGCCCACCTGCCTTCTTTCTTTCTTTCTTTCTTTCATTCATTCATTCATTCATTCACTCACTTGGCCAGAGAAGGACAGAGAGAGAGAGAAAGAGAGAGAGAAAATGAGAAAGCAAGCTGCTAGATCTGGGACTTGAGCTGTGGATGACCATGTAGGAATCCAGTGCTCCCAGCTGCCATGCCACCTGCCAGCCTCAGTAATGAGTGTTTTGAAAAGAAGCCAAGTTGGCTGTTTCAGTTTCAATAAACGGACTTTCTAAAGTAACCTTACTAATTTTTAAACCCTGAACAAGTTTTTCTCTGCTGTTGAAATTTAAAAGATAGAACCATATTAACCGTATCTGATTTATGAAGGGGTTTACATTTCCTTAGTCAGTGTTGTCATTTTTGGGCAAAAGACGTCTTTTGAAAAAAATGTCCTTGCGTTTTTCTGGTAGGCAGATGTGGTTACCGAAGACTGGCTGTGATTGATCATGCTGTGGCAGTAGGGCTCTTGTGACTCCTGGAGAACTAAAGCTTTCATCATTGTTCTTGCCTTCATGGGGAAAGCAACCTTCATTTCACTCCTTTCTAGATACAAAAGAAGGCAATACTCCTTTTTGATTCTGCTCTCTGATTTTTAAGGCAAATCCAGTTGCATTTTAGGAGTTGGGTTAGGGTTATGAGAGCCTGCCTAAGAAACATGTTGTATTCATGCCATTTCTCCATGGTTATTTTATTTATGTATTTTTGCAATGGGGGGCTTGGGAGATAGGATCCTACTGCCTTTGCCCCCCCTCCCTCTTTTTTTTAGATGTTTTTGCCTTGCAGTGCATGCACATACCAGGGAAAGACAGACATAGTGAGAGGGAAAGTGAAAAATTACACTCTGAGGGATGACCATGCCTCAATCCCTTCTCTATTCTTGTTCTGGGATCTCGGGCATGGACGTAATTTCGCCTGGCATGAATTCCAAGTCACTGGATCTTGGGCTGGAACTGCAGTCGACCATGTGGGAGTCTAGCAATGCAACTGCCACACCACCTGCTAGTCCTTTCAGCCTCTTGAGTAGCCGGAACTATAGGCTTCTTTTTTTAAATTGTTATTTTTAAGTTTGCTATAGGGCATCTGTGCTCACCAGAGAGACAGAGAAAGAGAAGAAAAGTGAGAAAGCAAGCTGACAAGTCTGGGCCTTGAACTATGGTCAGCCATGTGGGAGTCCAGTGCCTTAACCATCACATCAGCTACTAGCCCGTGGAACTCCCATATGGCCCCAGCCTGCTGCATAGTAGCATCAACTAGCATATGCTCCCATGACTGACCCCATGTGACAGTTACTGACTGTTGTAATTTTGGTTGTTCATTGCACTTGAGTTATCATGCTTCTTCCAGCTTTCATCGCAGTATAATTTGGCCGTAAGGCCTGAGCACTGTAGCAACTCAGCTGCATCATATTTCTGCCTTGACACACACACACATGCACTTCCTCATTTATGGAACCAAGAAGGATATTTTGACCTCACACAAATCTGGTGGCTCATGCAGTATTGTTTCTGTTTTCCTTTCTTCCCACCAAAGACAACTGATTTTTGAAATGAAGTGTATTGGTCTTAGCACATAGTTTTTTTTTTTTCTTTAATTGATCATTATGACTGAATTTATATAAATATGCCTATCTCATTCTAGCCTTTGGGTGGAAACATTGCTTATTTCTGTAAATATACCTTAATTGGCATTTCTAATTCAGTTCATACTAATTCTCTTTTGTTTTCTTTGATCTAGATTGATGAGCAGATCGAGAGCATGTTTAATTCAAAGAAGAGAGTAAAGGATATGGCTGCTCCTGGAACGTCTAGTGTTCCTGCTCCAACTGCAGGCAATGCTGAGAAATTAGAAATTGCTAAGAGATTGGCTCTTAGAATCAATGCTCAGAAGAATTTGGGCATCGAGTCTCAGGTATTAAGTAATTTTCCCAAGTCCCAGTCAATACTTTTTATAAGTTCTTCAGATTTGTACTTTTTAGGAAATATGTCCAGCCTGAGTGAACAAATTGTTCTAAATACTAGAGTTTGTGAGAATTTAATATTCTCAATAAAGAATTCCTTGATGATCACATTTTGATGATTTCTTTACTGTGATTAACAGAGGACTTTTTCTTATTCTGGAATGTCTGTTAGGTTAACATTAGATGTTTTATAGAATAGTATTTTGATTGATCTTAGTCTTCTGATTGATCTTACCAAAATCTTAAAGAAATAATTCCCCTTTTTCCTTTCTTTAAAAAAAAAATGTGTGTGTTTATGTGTGTGTGTGTGTGCACACGTGTGCTCGTAAGGATTCAGGAGTGGGGGAAAAGCACCCTTCTCACGGGGGCGTGGTCATACTGCACTCTCTTCTGCATTTCTCCCTTCTGTTGGGATTTTAGGTACCTGCATACATGTGCCCTGTATATTTTTTGAGCTGTCAGAGCTGAGATTTGATGTGCAGTTGGTCACATGGGATGTGGCTTCCAACACACTGCTTAACCACTGCATCATGGGACTGGTTATCTCTTTATTTTCTTGATCTGCTCTTATTGGATGGGTTATTGGGCACACAGACAATTCCCTAAATATACAAAAACGCAGTTATGTGACTCATACTAACTTGCACTGGAAGAGTAGAGAAGTGTGTTTTTAAAATATTTTAACGGCATGTTTTGCAAGTTTTGTTTTTTGTTTTTGTTTTTTTGTTTTGTTTTGTTTTGTTTTTGCTGTCTAGTTTTTAACTAAGTGTAAATTTTCATAGTATTCCCAAAGACTGTTTTGTTTGATGATTTCGTTAACATTTTGAAGATTTTGAGTAAGCTATATAGTTCAGCTTACTGACTCTTGGGTTTTGCCATGGAAGAGGAGGAACTCAGTGATGGTAGTGGTAGAAAGATTCTGGTTCAGAGGAAATTACTAGGAGTTACAAAGTTTGTAAGTTATTCTGGAACTAACGCAGTGTATCCGATCTCTAGAGTTAGCTAATTATCAAGAGAGTATCTATGATCCAGTGGGAGTTTTGTTTTTGTTTTTAAGAGGTTTTTGCTATAGGGCACATGCGCTCGCTAGAATGACAGAGACAGAAAACGAGAAATCACTCCCCACGGGGTATGGCCACGCTGCACCTCTTCTCCATTCTCCTCTCGGGATCTTGGGCACGCATGCACATGCGCCCAGCGTGAGTTTAAGCCACCCAGTCTGGGACTTGAACTGCGGTCGACAACATGGGAGTCCTGCAACATAGCCATTACGCTAACTGCTGGTGCCCCCCTTTTTTTTTTAAAGAGATTTTTTGCTATAGGGTGCATGTGCTCACTGAATAGACAGACAGAAAAGAAGAAATCACCCCCACCCCAGGAGTATGGCCATAACACAATTCCTTTTCTATTCTCCTCTTGGAATCTTGGGCAGACATGCACTTGCGCCTGGCATGAGTTTAAGTTGCAGGTTCTGAGACTCAAACCATGATTGACTGCGGGAGTCCAGTGATGTAACCATGACACTACCTGCTGGTCCTGAAAGTTGTTTTTATTTTTATTTATTTAAATCGTTAGTGGCTTTTCAGAGAATAACTTGTCAGCGTTATCTCTGATCCTATTTCTGTCTGTGTTCGAGATTTGACTGGAGATTTTCTTTAACTACAGGACGTGATGCAACAGGCCACCAATGCAATCCTTAGAGGAGGCACCATTCTGGCTCCCACCGTGTCTGCAAAGACCATTGCAGAGCAGCTTGCCGAAAAGATCAATGCCAAGCTCAATTATGTGCCTTTAGAGAAACAAGAAGAGGAGAGACAGGATGGCGGACAGAACGAATCTTTTAAGAGATATGAAGAAGAATTAGAGATCAATGACTTCCCACAGGTAAGTAACAGGTTTTAAGCTTTTTTCTTTCTTCGGTGAACTAGAAACTCTTGCTTCTTCAGGAGCAAAAATGTCTTCCTTAAAATCCATGAACATTTTAATAAATACTTCTTTTTCCTCAGTAGCGGACACAATAATAGGAATTTTATTTTTATGAATATATTCAAGTACTTCAGTATCTAAATGAATTTATGTGTTCACTATGGTTGTAATATGAACTGTAATATATCAGTAAAGCTCCTCTTTGTCAACATACTCCTCCATTTTTTTTCCCTGTTAGTAAGTGGTATTTTTTTCCTCCATCCTTTCTTTTTTAGACTGCTAGGTGGAAAGTTACCTCTAAGGAGGCTCTGCAGAGAATTAGTGAATATTCTGAAGCCGCAATTACCATCAGAGGAACATACTTCCCTCCTGGCAAAGAACCCAAGGAAGGAGAACGGAAAATATACTTGGCAATTGAAAGTATGTATACTTGGTGCTGTTTTAGGTTTGGCTTGGATCAAGGTTGACATAGATGTAGTAGACACAGGACACGAAGGCAATTCTGGAACATTAATAGGAAAAAACAGTTTCATGTATCATTAGGTCTTTATTTAGAAGTTCAGTACAAGGACCAGCAGATGGTGTAATGGTTACATTGCTGAACTCCCACATAGTCAACTGTGGTTTGAGTCCTGGGCCCGGTGGCTTCAAAATCATGCCAGGTGCGTGTGCATACGTGCCCCAAATCCCGAAGGAGAATAGAGGAGAAGGGATCACAGCATGGCCACCCGCCCTGGGTGATTTCTCACTTTTTGTCCTGTCTGTCTGGCGAGCACATGTACCCTATAGCAAAAATCTCTCTTTAAAAAAAAAGAGTTCAGTACATATAGAGGTGAATCATCTCTGTAGGACCCTTTCAGTTTGACAGTTCAATCACATTTGAAAAGTCATTTAAAAGCTTAAATTTTACATGAAGTCTTAGTTATGCTTCTAGTAAGTAGAATATTCTGATCATAGTTTTGGCTAAAAAGTAAATTATCAGGCCAGCAAGTGGTGTGAAGGTTAAGGCATCTAGATTCCACATGGCCAACTGTGTGGTTTGAATCCTGGACTCAGTGGCTTGAGAAAAATGCTGGGGGCATGTGTATACCTGCCCAAAATCCCTAGTGGAGAAGGGATTGTGGCATGACCATCCCCCCTAGGGAGTGGTTTTTCAAGTTCTCTCGCTCTTTCTCGGGCATGTGCCAGTTTGCAAGCCCTACAGCAAACAGAGAGGGAAAGAAAATATACTAGCAATATTAGTCCATGTAATGTTTAAACAAGTTTTGTTTCTGAAATTATGGCTGTGAAAGTTCATTTATACTTTTAACAAAAAAAGAGGAGACAATACCATAACCTAAAGGAAAAAAGTAATGCATTATTTAAGAGCTGTCAGTGATTTTCAACTCTGGAATTTCTATTTGATTTTTTTATTTCTGTCTCATTATTGCTATGTTCTCTAGTTAGTATTTTCCTGATTTCCTTTAGTTCTGTGTCTATGGTTTCCTTTAGTATATTTATTTATTGTTTGAAAAACTATTTATTTGATTTTATTTAGTCATTCATTTATTTTAATTTGGCCAGAGAAAGAAAGTGGGAAAAGCAAGCCACCAGGACCGTGACTCGAACCATGTTTGGCCATATGGGAGTGTCTAGCGCCTTAACCACCACGCCACCCACTGGTCTCCTCTTTAGTATATTATAACAGTTGTTAAAGACTGTCTATTAAGTCCGGTGTTTGAGTTTCCTTAGGGAAAATGTCTGTTAACCTTTTCTCCTGTGAATCGGTCACTCTTTTGTTAAAATGTGGCCATTTTTTAATAAGTTTATAAGATGGTAACTGGAAATTGGATTCTCCCTGCTCCTTATTGTTTGTTGCTGCTTATAGTTTATTGACTTTTCTGAGCTACACAGCAAGTAGTCTGTATTCTTTGTCATATATAGCTAGTGATTTCCTTAAGTGCCTAGGGAAGGAAAAAAAAATCTTAGTCTTTGCAAGTGTGTTCTTGTGTATTCAGATAGGCAGTCCACTCTCATTCGGCAGCTTCTGTAAGCTTTCTGCTTGCTCAGTCTTGAATATCAGTTAAGAGGTTAGAACTTAGCGCCTTCGTGAGTCTTTTTCTAAGCATATGCCCAGCCCTGGCCATGCACATGGACTTCTAAATTCCCATGAATATATGGAGTTTTGCAAAGCCCTTATTCTCTAAACTATTTTATCTCCCAGCTTTTTCTCCCAAGCTTTTTGTTTGTCTTTTGCCTCAGATGTTTTTCCTTGTCTCAGGGGCTAAGTGACTAATGTGTTTGCATTTTGACATATCCCTCCCCCTAAGCTTTGGGAGAGTTCTAAGGTGAAATAAAGGCAAACCTTTGACCTGCTTTTCAGGGAGCCACCAGACAGGTCAAAACAAACAACCACATTTCTTTGAAAATAGAGTTCTTTCTGGTACAGAGAATGCAGGCTGTTGTTTTCAAAGCTTTGGGTGGGGAATGGATGGTGGGTGGGAGGGCGATGGGGTCAGGTTAAAACACTGAAAATGTTTGTTACCAACGTTCAGCTTTGTGTGGTGGTTTTGTCTTGTTTTATTTTGGCGTTTTTATTTATCTCTTATTTTTTAAGTGTTTCCCTTTTAAACTTTTGATTGGTTTCTGGAGTTTATATAAAGTTGATGTGGCCAGCTCCATATAGTGCCTAAGGAAACCAAATCCCACATGGTCAACGAGGATTTGAATTTTGGCCCCACGAGCTTGACAAAATATGCCAGGGGCCTGTGTCTGCATGCCCCAAATAAGGACATGGTCCTGCATGACCAACTGCAGTTTGAGTCTTAGACCTGACAGCTTGCTTTCTCGCTTTCTCTCTCTCTCTCTTTCTCACTCTATCACCGTGTTACTATCTGGTCAAATTAAAATAAATAAAGTTAAATAAAAGAATAATTTTTTTTTAAAGTTGGATTTTGACAAGTTTTGTAAATTATTTCCTACTTTTGTGGAGGAACAGTGTTTTGGAGTTCCTTAGCCTGTCGTTTTTCATTGACTTGCTAAGACTTTCTGAGTTAATAATGACTAATTGTGGCAGTTTCATGAAACTCAAATGCAGTCCTTACGTTTTCCATGTATTTACCGCTCTACTGTTGCTGTACAATGAATTTCATATGTATTTTTCTTAAGAATTATTTTACTTAATTTTATTTATTTATTATTTTTTGGAGAGGTTTTTGCTACAGGGCACATGCACTCACCAGGAAGACAGAGAAACAGAGAGACAGAAAGTGAGAAATCAACCCCCCCCAGGGGATGGCCATGCTGCAACCCCTTCTCCTCCATTCTTCTCTCGGGATCTTGAGCACGTACTCAGGCACACGTGCCCAGCATGAGATTAAGCCACTGGGTCTGGGACTCGAACTGTGGTCAACTACATGGGAGTCCATCGACACAGCCATTACGCCAACTGCTGGTCCTTTAATTTTATTCATTATATTATTGTTATTATTTTTAATTTGACCAGAGAGAGACAGAAAGTGAGAAAACAAGCAGCCAGGTTCAGGACTCGAACTGTGGTCAGCCATGTGGGAGTCCAGCACCCTTAACCACTACTCCATCTAGTCGGCCCCTGCATATATATATTTTTTAAGTGGTAAGCAAAGGATGTGGCTCCAGAACTACGTAAGTTTGCATTCTTTTGTTAATGTTTAAATCTGTGAGAAACTGACTCACATCTACTTCATGCCAGGTTTTTTGTGGGGATTTTTGTTTTTATTTTTAATTTTGCAAGAGAGCATGTGTGTTTGCCAGAGAAAGAAAGTGAGAAAGCACCTCCCCGCCACCCCCATGCCATGGGGAACGGTCACATTACAATCCTTTTTTCTTCATTTCTCTCTTCTTTTGGACTTTGGACTTGCACACACATGTGTCTGGTGTGTTCAAGTCTCCAAGTCCTATACTTGAACTGCATAGTTGACCACTTGTGATCTAGCTGCCCTGACACCCAGTCCATGGGTTGGCCCCTAGGCGGGTTTTAAACTCATCCTTTCGTGTGTCCTGAAAGACTTAGTCTGCCAGTGACTTGGTGTGTTTCTAAATCATGTGACATGTTTCCTTATTACATATTAAAATGGGGGTTGTTGGCACCTGAGTCTTCAAGCAGAAAGAACTAAACTGGCATGTTTCTGCACTCAGAACTGGAGAGGGCTTTGCCTATGTGTTCATCAGGCTGTATGGGGTGGAGATAGAGCAAGAATTGGAAAAAATCTGGTGTTAAAAGTTTTGGCATACAAGGAGTCATTTTTTCCCCTCTGTTTGGATGTTATAGGTGTAATTTAAGCAAAACCAATCTTTTAAAAGCCTGCCTTATAAAGAGACAAATCAGATATGTGATTGCTTTGGAAAAAGAAGCTTTTTGAAATTTATTAATTTAAAGGTAGCCATGCTTATCTGATACAGTAAAATTGCTACATCAAAGCTTGATTTGTGTGTAACTATCAGAACACATGTCCTATACTACCAAGTGACCTGAAATGAGACAGTCACTGTACACGGTCACAGCTTTTATTTACTTTTTCTTCCATCTAGAATGGCTCTGATCACTTCTTCACTGTGAACTTGTACTGAGGAAATAAAATCTAAACAAGTTTCCTTTTCTCTATAAAAGGGTAACTTATAGAGAACAAGTCTGTTTTGCTTTTTTTTTTTTTTTTTTTTTTTTTTCTATTTGTGCTTGTC